ATATGCATAGGAAGTATAAAATAAATCCATCAGAGCTTTAACCATTGTCAGTATGGAGGATCTATGAAGTGTTTTGTAGTCCCCTGCTCCTTGCCTATCAATTCTAATTTCACAACAGTGAATATGTACTATTTCTGCAATATATAATTTTAAAAAATGTTAACTCAAATTAAGGTGGATCCATTGCTTCAGTCTGTCCTATATTTGTATAGTGGTGCAGAGTGCTCAAATATCACTTCATTTTTTTTTTAATTATTTTTTCAAATATAGAGACAGGCTCTTGCTCTGTTGACCAGCCTGGTCTTGAGCTCTTGGATCCTCCCACCTCTGCCTCCCAAAGTGCTGGTATTACAGGCATGAACCATCATCACGCCCGGCCGACTTCATTTGAGAAATCTTTCCCCAGCATTCTATATATTACCAATTGTTCCTTTCTTCTTGTTTAGATAGCATTTTTGTTATTTCTCTATTACCTCGCTTGTCACATGATAATCAGCTGCTTACTCAACTGTCTCCCTTGACCGCTCATGAGCTCCTTAAGAAGTAGTCTCATTTTCAGGATCTTGAACACTGTGCAACACATATATGCTTCACAGGCAGAGAAGAAGTAAATTATTTCACTACAGTGTAATCATTCCTAGAATTCTGCGACCTGTATTTCTAAATTGTTCTAGGTACTCTGCCAACAACCTGAGAATGTTATACTCTTTCTCTAAAACTTCTATCTATAACTAAGGATCTATGGTCATAGTTAACTCAATTGTGACATGCCCTCTAGCCAAATCCTCTCATAGTTTTTTCTTCAGGTGATTTTTAATTTTTGTTTTTGATTGTTTGCTCTTCGTTTTTTTAATCTGTTTAGTTAACTTCACTATCCCTACATCTCTGTGCCTTTACACCTGCTAGTCTTTGTTTGGAATGATGTCTCAAGGTTGTATTCACCTGGAAAGCATTCCTACTCACTTTTAAAGAATCAACTTAAATAGCATTTTCTCTGGGAAGCCCTTCTATCCTCCCGTTCTTTCAGTAAGAGTTGAGAATTCCTACAGTTGAAACTGTAGACCCTGCTTTCATGGAGCTCATGGTCTAGTATGAAAAACAGCCATATGTACAAATAACCACACTATAATACTAAATGCAACACCAAAAGGGAGATGATTTGAATATTTGACAAGTGTTAATTACCTTGTTAGATGCATTAACTATTATCTATGATCATATTAGATAAATATTTGAATTGGACAGAGGGCATGAAACTATAGGACTGCTATACTATCAACTGTCTTCTAAAGAAACTCTCCAAAGGGTTATTTTAGAATATGCAACAGTCATACAACTATTGTGTAACTGTGGCATACACAAAAAGCACGTTGCATATCTGTAGCATATCTGTGTGACTGATAATGCATAAAATCAACCTTACTTCTTTGGCCACAAGTGACTGGACCAGGGATCAGTGCTTCAGCTAAGGACAACATATAGGTTGAACTTTAGAGGAATCAATCACCAAGGACATGGCATGGCTCAAAATTCTCCCTAATAGGGGCCTTCTGTTTTAGAAGGTGACAAACTAATCCAATCAGATATCTTCTCTTGGAAAATACAAATGCTGGGTGAACGAAGGAAAAGAGGGCAGGTCTTCAGAGCTCAAATACTAAATACTGCTAAATTAACGTTCTGTGAGGTTCTGAAAGTACTAGGGCCAAGAGACAATATGGCTGCTTGGATGACTTCTGATCCAAGTTTACATTCAGCCCTGATCACCAAAGCTGATATGTGTGTACCTCTTCGTTGCAACCCACCGGGGACTAACACATCATATCACCACTTTTGAAATTAGAAAACAGGCTCAGAAGTCCAAGAACTTGACCAAAGGAACTGAGTTGATAGGTAGCAGAACCAGAATTCAAAGACCCAGGTCAGCATGATTCTTCTATAATATCCTGCCACTTACATGGGCAAGTGGCCTCAAAATCAACAAAAGACAAGTAGAGGTTGACATGCATCAGTGGAAAGAGACTCAAAAGGAAGTGTTTATACACAAGAATAGAAATGTTCTGGAACATTTCTACGTCTGAGGATGTGAAGTAGGAGTGGGCATACCAGGTTTACCTTGGTTAAACCTGGGCCTCTCCTCGGAACTCCAGATTTAGCTATCTGTCTTTCTTATGCAAATATAAAACCCACAGGGCAGGACCTTAATCTCTAGCTTGCTCACCATAGATTAAAGCAGAGTTTGAAGTTTGGTGCAGTGGCTCATGCCTGTAATCCCAGCACTTTGGGAGGCCAAGGTGGATGAATCCCCTGAGGCCAGGAGTTCGAGACCAGCTTGGTCAACATGGTGAAACCCCATCTCTGCTAAAAATACAAAAATTAGCTGGGGGTGGTGATGTGAGCTTGTAATTCCAGCTACTTGGGAACCTGAGGCAGAAGAATTGCTTGAACCCAGGAGGCAGAGGTTGCAGGGAGCTGAGATTGCGCCATTGCACTCCAGCCTGGGCGACAAAAGTGAAATTCCATCTCAAAAAAAAAGCAGAGTTGACTTCAAATAAGTGCTTAATATATGATAAATGAATGAACTGAATGAATATATGATAAATGAATAAATACATGAATAAATGAATGAACTATCAAGCTAAAGAAACATTCCACATTGTTGGGGGAAGGGGTTACAATAAAACAGACCCTAGCAGTCATTTACAAATATAGTTCCTCATTATTTGTGGATCCCATATTTGCTAATTTGCTTACTTGCTAAAATGTCTTTGTAATCCCGAAATTAATACTTGCGGAGCTTTCAAGGTGACTCATGGATATACACATAGTGAAAAATATGTCACACTTGCCCACGTCCTAAGCTGAGGTCAAATAAGATGACCCTTGGCCTTCTTGTTTCAGCTCTCATACAAAGATGACCAAAGGACAGAGACAGCAGAGGGCAGTGCAGTGTAGTGCAAGAAGCTCTGGCTCTGGGGCCAACTGGACGAATCTGAATCATAACTCTGGCACCTGTTAGTGGAGGGGCCTTAGGCAAATTGCTTAACACTTCTGTAGTTCCTTTATTCTTTTGTAAACAAAGAATCTACCAAGATGAGCTGTTTTTATCAATTAAGATTATAATCTATGTGAGATATGTATATATGTATATATATGTATTTATTTTCCCTGGAAACAAAAGTTGAATATTTGATAATTCAGTGTTCTAGGCAACTTTATAGAATATAACTACTGTAAATAATGAGAATTGACTGTAATCATTTATAAAGAAATAACAGAAAAGTAGACAAAACAATTATTTGGATGAGATAGAGGCAGGCTTCAAGATTTTGAAGAAACAGAATTTCACCAGGCACATACGGTGTGGAAAAGACTTGCAAGGAGAGAGCGGCACCTACAGAGAGAGGTCCAGATGGTGGAAAAAAACAGACAGGTTCAGGAAATGGCACTTCAGAGAGTCTAGAGCAGAATATGAAGCCAGAATACAGTGCCACTGTGCTTCTCTGCACCCTGTACACACCCGGTACTGCAGAACCTCACTCTCTGCATTTAATTATTGGTTTCTAGTTCTCTCTTCCATTAAACTGTGAGCTCAAGGTCAAGGTCTCTAAGAAGAAATCATAGCCAGAGTCCTCTAAATTTGCAAACAAGTTATTATTAAACACAAATACTCCCAAAAAAAGACTGTACAAAAATAACCTTGGTTTTCAACTGCAGTCATAGCAACTCACAACTGGTACAGATTTGCAATTTGTCCAGGATTTTTCTGATGTAATTCTGTCATAAACTCTTCTCATTGTTTTAGACACCCAGACATTTGTTAGAACAGTTTTAAGATCTTGCTCTTTTTAGAGTAATTGACTGATTGGCTGATTGACTGAGATGGGGTCTCACTATGTTGCCCAGGCTGGTCTTAAACTCCTAAGTTCAAGCAATCCTCCTAAGCCTCCCAAGTGGCTGGGATTACAGACTCATACCACCATGCTACGCGCTAGTGTGATTTATTAACAAGGCTTAAACATATGGTCCATTAGAAAAGGCTGCCACCACAGAGTAAAGATTTCTTTTAATTCACTCTAATAAACTTATTTCTGTATATGTAAGATACAGTTTTACCACAGTAAAATACAAGGAAGCATACTGATATATATGTTACAAACTGGATAAGAAAAGCAATATAATTTTTTCCACAAAAGCTTGCAAAATCCTGGCCAAAACACAGTAAACATGTTAAACTCACAGCTTACATTTCTCCACTGAGTTAGGAAAAACAATTCCAGTTTTTGTAAAGTCATGAAACTAAATACTATGAGAATTTACAAGATTTTGTAAACTTGTATATTCTCCCCACCCCCATGCTCAGTAGCCAAAGGAGCCTATCAATCTTACTCCAACACTTCACTTTCCTCCAACCTCCAAAATAAGACCCTCACTGTCCAATATCTGAATTTATATTTTCAAACGTCTAAAATCTTAATCAAAACCAAGAGCAGTGCATTAGCTTTTTCCCATACAATTCTAGGTATAATTTTACTTAGGCACAACATAGTTTGTACTATTATCTAAAAACATATGGCTAGAATCAACATTACTAGAAACCAAATGAATATACTACGAAAGTGAAAAGGGAACAGGGAATCTGTTTTTAAACAGATTCAATGCTGTTATTATGCATTCATAGGTTGGGTGTGATCAAATCACATTGTACTGTACAGCTAAGTATGTCCTATATTTTATGACAAAGTAGGGTAACCAGGCCCTTACACTGCAAACTCGCAAAAACCCAAGTTAAGCTGTTTAAAGTATAATCCAATTCAATTTACTTAAAATAATAAAACTTAAATTCCTTGCTTCTAGTTAGCCCTTTTCAACTGCATTTTCAGCGATTATCACCACAAGAACTATATTAGGACATAGATTCTAGAGCGAGTATAATGATCAAATGCCGTCTTAAGGAAGGCAAAAACAGTTTACCATGAAGAAAACCGATTAAAGTTCCCAACCTTGCCAAACTCCCTGTTCAGCGTATTCTGCCTCTCTCGGTTCACCTTCCAGCTGCCTGGAAGAGGCAAGTGGAAAATGTTAGTTTTCAGGAGATGAGAATGGAATTTAGAGGTTGCTAGGGGGTGATGGACTCACTCACGGACAGCAAGGCACAAGAGAAGTGGCCAACGTCTCCCAGGCAAATGAGGCATGAAGAATGAGGGCTGGAGTCAAACCGGAGATGGAGCGAGTATAAAACGGCAAAGGACGCGCAGGGGCCCGCGAATGGGGGAGGGGCACGACGCGCAATCCCTCCCTCTCCAGCCCGGGGAGAGGGGCGGGGGATGCCGCGCGGGTTAATTTGCCTAGCATTGTTGCACCTGGGTAGCAACGGGATTCAGGCCGAGAATCTGGTTCGAGTGTTAGGAGGACGCTGAAGGGAGCCAAAAACTTGGGTGGAGGAAACAGAGCACCTGTGCCCGGGGGAAAGGGAGGAAAACCCCCTATCGCCCCAGAGGGGCAGGGGCTGACCCCAGCGGACGACCCTTCTCGCCGATGGCCGCGACGTGGGACTCCGCACGCTTTCCCTCCCCACAGGAGCTCCGGAAGGCGCGTGCCGCCCCTCACAGCCCCGACGGTGGCAGAAACTGAGACGCAGGGCGCCCCCAGAGCCGGGAGAACGGCACTTCCCGCGAGTCCTTTCCCCAACAGCGCAAGCCCACCTGGGCTGACCAGAAGCCCTTCCTTCAGACCGTACTCTGCCACTCCTCTGAGAGCTTGAGCCGTCGCCGCAGAGGTCGCCGTCGCCAGGACAGTCTCGGCCTTTAGTACCTAAACCTGAGGCAGAGGACCCGAGAAGCGCCACTACCACTTGCCAGGTTACCTCTTACTGCACACTGCCTCCTCGCCCCGCCCCCCGACCCAAGCTATTGGTTGCCGGGCACCGCCCCATTGGTCTATTGGGCCGAAGAAGACGCCGTTCAGTCACCTAGAATGGCATTTATGGTTTTTATTGGTCTAAATGTGAAGCAGAGCCCGCCCACTCCCTCACAAGTTTCAGCTTCTGATTGGTTTTAATGTCTGTCTTTTTGCTTCCTTCATTTTTTTTTTTCCTGGGATGGAACGCCTCCTTGTGGGAGACGCCGGCTATGATTGGCTGAAAGGATGCTACGCTAGCCTGGGATAGGCATTGGGCCAAGGATGCGCCCGACCCACTGGTTGGGGAGGATACCAAGGCGCAGCACTCTGGGTTTGTTTACACAGGGCTCTTGCTCCCGCTTCGTCTATTGGCTGAGCTGGAAGCCACTGCCACCGAGTTTTGCCTGTCAGCCTAACAAGGAGGAGGGTGGGGGCGGACCTGGGTAGGATTTCCCCCAGCTGTCAATTACCAAGGGAGGAGCTTTGATTCAGGCTGGTTCAGCTCTGGTGCTATGCTCTGCAGGGAAAATTAAGAAGTTGGGCTCCTTGGGAGGCTGGAAGGAAGCAGAGGGACGCTGGAAGGAAGCAGAGGGATGCTTCCACCTTTCTAGAAACAAACATAACTTCTTGAGTGCTTTAAAGAAATAAAACTGGCCGGGCGCGGTGGCTCACGCCTGTAATCCCAGCACTTTGGGAGGCCGAGGCGGGTGGATCACGAGGTCAACAGATCGAGACTATCCTGGTCAACATGGTGAAACCCCGTCTCTACTAAAAATACCAAAAAAAAATTAGCTGGGCATGGTGGCGCGTGCCTGTAATCCCAGCTTACTCAGGAGGCTGAGGAAGGAGAATTGCCTGAACCCAGGAGACGGAGGTTACGGTGAGCCGAGACGGCGCCATGGCACTCCAGCCTGGGTAACAAGAGCGAAACTCCGTCTCAAAAAAAAAAAAAGAAATAAAACTTTATTCCCCCCGTTAGATGTAGGATGTCCAATCTGCTTGCAAAGGACTTTGAATTTTATTCCACAGGAAGTGGGGATTTCTTTGTGGAGCTCCTACTTCATATATCTTAGTCTCCCTCCACCTCTCAAGCTGACTGTATACATGACACTAAGTTAATAAGTGATTGCAGAATGAATGGAAATAAATATAAAAATGAAGAAGACAATTAAACTCAAGTAACAGTTGTAAATATTAGCTATATACTTCGATATCGTTTGGCTCTGCATCCCTACCCAAATTTCATGTTGAATTGTAATTCCCAGTGTTGGGGGAGGGACCTGGTGGGAGGTGATTAGATCATGGGAACAGTTTTCCCCCTTGCTGCTCCGTGATAGTGAGTTCTCACAAGATCTGATGTTAAAAAAAAAAGTGTGTGTCACTTCCCCCTCAGCTCTCTCTCGCTACCATGTGAAGACATGCTTGCTTCTCCTCTGCCCTTTGCTCTGAATGTAAGTTTCCTGAGGCCTCCCCAGTCATGCTTCCTGTACAGCCTGTGGAACTGAGTCAATTAAACCTCTTTTTTTAAAATTTGCATAGATTTATTTACCTGATTTAAAATTTTGAGTCTCCACCTCAAAAGCTGATCTTTGAAATTTTCCTGAAAAAATATGGAACGCTTCACTAATTTGTGTGTCATCCTTGCACAGGGCCATGCTAATCTTCTCTGTATTGTTCCAATTTTAGTATATGTGCTGCCGAAGAAACACACCTCCTTTCTTAATAAATTACCCAGTCTCAGGTAGTTCTTTATAGCAATGTGAGAATGGACAAATACATACTTTGTATTAAATAATATAGTAAGTAAATACATAAATACATTCATTCAACAAATATTGAGCATCTACTATGAATGTTCTAGGCTCTTATCAAAGAACTGGGTATATGATATGAATATGACAATGAGGATGCACCCATGGTGTTTGTAGTCTAGTAGATGAGACTGACAACAGACAAGTAACTAATAAATAATAAAATAGTATGTTGTGAATAAGTGCTACAAAGGGAAATAAAGCAGAGTTATGGGATGTTGGGGAAATGGCTGTTTTAAGTAGGATGGTTAATTTACAAGCTGTTTCAGGAAATGGCATTGAACAGAGATGTGAATAATGTGAAGAAGTGAAGAGTGGGAAGGGACTAATAAGAAGGGCCCCTACATTGCACAATTCCAGGATCACTATTTACATTGTTCCATGTATTTTGAAGTTGTGTATTAGGCATAGATCCATTTAGGGCTGCCTACTCTGGTTTAAAGCTTTATTTGATTATGTAATTTAAATGAATCCTGCAAGAAACATGTATATCTTTTAGAAAAAATAATATATCTCTAAGATAGCATCCCCATACCCTCCACTGCTTCTTTCCTTGAGTTGGCCTACAGGTGTATGGTGAGAGAAAGTTTACATAATCTCATAGCTTTGAAAAAACAGCCTCTTCAGGTCCACATGGTGTCCTTGTACAGTCAGAAATATCTTCGAGGATGAACATTTATTACCAGGATAGCAATGGGATGTAAGGAGGGGTTGATGAACTTCTCTTGTCTCACTTCCTACCACAGGTGCCATCTGTTATAAATTCATGGCTGGCTATTACCACTGATAGAGAAGTCTTAAAAGCAGGTGGGAAAAAAAGGCAATTTTAAGTAAAATGGTTAGTTTAAGAGCTGTTTGAGGAAAGACCATTGAACAGAAATGTGAAAAAGTGAAGAGCAAGAAGGGGCTGGGAAACACAGAGGGGAAAAAATAGCTAAGAATTACAGCATATTTCTTATCAGAAACTATGGAAGCCAAAAGACAATGAAGGAGTGAGGTAGCAGTGTGGATATCTGGTGGTGGTGTGCAGGGACAGATAGGAGACAAAAACTAGTCATAAATTTCTAAGAGATTTTGTCAGTGAGAGAGAGGGAGGCAAGAGAAGCCCATCACCCTTCCCCACATCTATTGCTTTTCAGGCAATAAATCTTCATCCTTGAAGATTACATCTTCATTTAAAAAAATTTAATTGTGGTGAAAAATATATAAAATTTACCATCTTAACTATTTAAGTGTACAGTTCAGTTACAGTAAGTGCATTCACACTGTTGTGCAATCATCACCACAATCCGCTCGCAGAACATTTTCATCATTCCTAACAAGAATTCTGTACCCATTAAACACTCTATTCTTCCCTTCCCCCAGCCCCTAGAAATCACCATTCTGTTTTCTGTATCTATGAATTTGACTGTTCTGGGTATCACATATAATATTTATATAATATTTGTCCTGTTGTATTTGGCTTTATATCTCCCACATTTAAGTATCAGAATTTCATTTCTTTTTAAGGCTGAGTAGTATCATTATAGGTATATGTCCTATTTTGTTTATCAATTCATCCATTGATGGACATTTGAATTGTTTGTATCTTTTGCCTATTGTGAATAATGGTGGTATGCAAATATCTATTCAAGGGTCTGCTTTCAATTATTTTGGGTATATATCCAGAGGTGGAATTGCTACGCTGTATAGTAATTCTATGTTTAATTTTTTGAGGAACCACCATACTGTTTTCCACAGTGGCTGCACCATTTTACACTCCCACCAACAGTGTACAAAGGTCCCAATTTCTACTTATTCTTGCTAACACTAGTTTATTTTCTGATTTTAAAAAAATCATAGCCATCCTAGTTAGTGTGAAATGGTATCGTATTATGATCTTGGTTTGCATTTTATTTTTCCCATAACTCAGAATGCAGTAAGATATTTTATTTTATTTCATTTATTTTTCAAGACAGGGTCTTGTTCTTTCAACCAGGCTGGAGTGCAGTGGTGTGATTATAGCTCACTACAGCCTTAACCCCTGGACTCAAGCAATCCTTTCACGTTGGCCTGCCAAGTAGCTGGGACTACAAGCATGTGCCACCATGCCCAGCTAATTTTTAAATTTTTTGTAGATATGGGGTCTCACTATGTTGCCTAGAGTAGTCTTGAACTCCTATACTCAAGTGAATCTCCCAACTCAGCCTCCCAAACTGCTGGGATTATATGCATGAGGTACCACTCCCAGCTTGGTATGCATTTACCTAATCATTAGTCATGTTGAGCATCTTTTTTGTGCTTATTGGCAACTTGTACATCTGTTTTGGAGAAATGTCTATTCAAGTCCTTTGCCCATTTTGGAATCAGATTATTTTCTTTATGAGTTGTAGGAATTTAAAGAATATTCTGGACATTAATCCCTTATCAGATATATGATTTGCAAATATCCTGTGAGTTGCCCTTTCTATATTGATACTGTCTTTTAATACTCAAGGACTATATTTCTGATTAAACAAGTATACCATCTGGTCATAGGGAGCCTATTTTTGAAAGCTATAAAATCTCATAAGCCCTCTCTTACCATACACCTGAAGGCCACCTTAGGGAAAGAAGCGCTGCTGGGTATGGAGAGATTATTACAGAAACAGATCATTTTTTTTCCCCAAAAGAGCTAAGCATTTCTTATAAGGTTCATCTTATTTAACCAGACAAAGCTTTAAAGTGGAGGGGATACCTAGTTGGTTTTTGGTCTTCCCTCACAACCTAGAGAGGTTCCGGGGAGAAAAAGAGATAAGCTGGAGTGAGAAAGAAGTCAGTGGATGTACCAACAGCCAACAAAAAGATTCTTCTAGACATCTTCAGGGAACCCAAGAGGAATGTAAAAATTATGTAGCTCAGCACTGGGCTCCAGAGGCGGGGAGCCCTCTGGACTCTTCCCTGAAGAGAGTTGTATTATCCATTCATGTGAGAATCAGGAGGACTTCTGCAACCGAGGATCACTAACCCTGGGGAATTTCCACTTGAACACTTCAACGCTTCTTTATATGGATCATCATCCACTCATCTATGACTTAATCAGTCCAAAAAGCCAGGCTTATACTGCGAGGCAAATAATCATTCTATGGGAACATTGACTGATCCAAGATAAAATACCTAGAATACTGGCATTTGGAAGTAACCAAGAAATTTCTAGATCCCACCTTACT